GTACTACCTAGATGCACAACAAAAACATAATACATATTATATATTTGAATGTTAACAGGCTGCAAATCTGATTTTTATAATTGTGATCATGCTTTGCATAAAGAATGTATCTTTTTTTTTTAAATTAAGCTTATATAAATATGTCAAACATTTCTGCTCTACATAATCTTTCTATCATCTACACTTAGATGTAATCAGTTTTCATTCCTAGATGCACAACAAAAACATAATACATATTATATATTTGAATGTTAACAGGCTGCAAATCTGATTTTTATAATTGTGATCATGCTTTGCATAAAGAATGTATCTTTTTTTTTTAAATTAAGCTTATATAAATATGTCAAACATTTCTGCTCTACATAATCTTTCTATCATCTACACTTAGATGTAATCAGTTTTCATTTTATTGGCTTCTAGGATGGGGTGGAATGACACGTATAAGTGCTACTCTGATCTTAGACTATTGTCCACAGCTAATTACAAACCAAAACTGTTGCCAGTAACTGTGGTGGGAGAGGGCGGTGTGGGTATTCAAGGTGTTCAAGTTTGGGTCCTTTTTGAGTTTTTACTATTCTGAAATTAATCTTGTAGCTGTATAGCTCTAACTTTCTTATTTTTAGAGAGTTTATCAGAAGCGTAGCATAACATCTTCTTTCCACAGTGAATTCTTGGTGATTTTGTTTGCTATCTTTCACTAGAGCCTGCTGTTTGTATGTTCTGCACATGTTATCGTCTAGCTTTGATCATTTTTACTTCTACTGGCAGAACTACACTGGGATGAAAGATTACAGTTTTTTAGGATTAACTGATTGTATTGTTTCATTTGTTTATTCTCGTTCAGTTGTTTCTCCTTCCAGCTATACAGGAAAATATTCTTTCTTCTTTCATTATTACTCAGAAACTTTTAAAAGTCTGAATTCTTCGAAGCCGGATCAGATATCTATCAAAGGCACCATTCTGTTGACAGTTCTTTATTAACCAGTGTGGATTAAGGATATTGTATCAACTTCCCTAAAACGCCAATTCAGTAAATGATTTAAACACTTGATTAAAGTGAGTTATATGCTTAAGTGCTTTCTAGAATCATGCTTTCATCCATAGTGCTTGTTTTGACGTTTGACAAACATTGTACAAGAAGGTAAACAGTCATGTATACTATTTTCCTTTGCTTTCTCTTCTGGTTCTAGCTTCCTTGGAGTGCTTGAACTGCAAATCACATTACTTTATTCTCTTTGTCCAAACGTTTTTTCTTTAATCAGTTCCATTCTGTTATATTACAATGGATTCTGATTATTATAAGTCATTTAGCAATTTAATTTCAAATTGCAAAGTCATGATCTGGTAATACTATCAGAATTGACAAGAATCTGCTCTTTCTTTATTTCTGACATTGAAACATGAGACAAAATAATTCATTTAATTTTCCCTTTGGGGTTCTGGAGGGTTAATAGGTGTAGTATAAACTTACTGTCACTGAAGTCAGTAGCTGTGAGCAATTGCTACTTTAACTTTTTTCTAACCTCTTTCTTTTTTTAGGAGTTACAGTGACCTCAGTCTGTGGCAGCACACAATTTTGCACCCCCCCCCCCAATTGGTGCAAAGTACTCTTAAATCCAATCAACAGAGGATCTTCCCTTGATAGGATCCTTGAGTTGCAGAGTCATAGTGGGTCCCTGTGGTCAGGGCTATGGGCAATGTTCCCTCTAATTTTCCCACCCCAAGCGGAATGAATTCTTATGTGCACCAAGGTTCTGAGTGTGGGAGGGGGCTCAGGCCTGGGGCAGAGGGTTGGGGTGCAGAACTATGAGGGCTCTGGCTGGGGTGCAGGCTCTAAGGTGGAATGGGTTATGGGGTTCAGGCCTGGGCAGAGGGCTGGGGTGCAGGCTCTAAGGTGGGATGAGTTGAGGGGTTCAGGGCTGGCACAGAGGGTTGGCCTGCCAGGGATATAGACTCTGGGCTGGGGCTGAGGCATATAGGGGAGGGCTCAGGGCTGGGGGTTGGTGGCAGCAGGAGGTACAGCTTCTGAGCTGGGGATGGGAGTACAGGCTCTGGTTTGCGGTGTGTGGGCTTGGGGTGAAGCCGGGGATGAGGGCTGCGGGATGCAGGAGGATGCTCAGTCTGGGCGGGGAGGGGCCAAGGTAGGACGGAGGTTGGGGCTCAAGCTTATCCTGGCTGCTCCCTGCTGGGGTTGGCAGGGAGGAGAACTCCCTTTGCTGGCCACGGCAGTTTTGGAGTTTGGGGTGATATTTTTCCCCACTGGAGCCCTGAGTCCCTATGTGGGCTTAATGTGAAGCTGTGCAGCAACACAGCTTAGGGCAGGGGTCTGCAACCTATGACTCTAGAGTCAAATATTGCTCTTTGGTCATTCCAAAAATACGCACAATATAAGAATGGCCGTACTGGGTCAGACCAAAGGTCCATCTAGCCCAGTAGCCTGTCTGCCGACAGTGGCCAGCACCAAGTGCCCTGGAGGGTGTGGACAGAAGACAGTGATCAAGCGATTTGTCTTATGCCATCCATCTCCAGCCTCTGACAAACAGAGGCCAGGGACACCTTTCCTACGCCCTGGCTAATAGCCTTTTATGGATCTAACCTCCATGAATTTATCTATCTTCACTTTAAACTCTGTTATAGTCCTAGCCTTCACAGCCTCCTTTGGCAAGGAGCTCCACAGGTTGACTATGCGCTGTGTGAAGAAGAACTTTCTTTTATTGGTTTTAAACCTGCAACCCATTTATTTCATTTGGTGTCCTCTAGTCCTTATATTATGGGAACTAATGAATAACTTTTCTTTATTCACCCTCTCCACACCACTCATGATTTTATATACCTCTATCATATCCCCCCTCAATCTCCTCTTTTCCAAACTGAAAAGTCCCAGTTGCTTTATCCTCTCTTCATATGGGACCTGTTCCAAACCCCTAAACATTTTAGTTACCCTTTTCTGAACCCTTTCCAAGGCCAAAATATCTTTTTTGAGGTGAGGAGACCGCATCAGTATACAGTACTCAAGATGTGGGAGTACCATAGTTTTATATAGGGGCAGTAAGATATTATATGTCTTATTTTCTATCAACTTTTTAAATTAAAATAAAAAATTAATTCAACATTTTATAAACACATAATTTCTCATGTCAGGATGATGTTTTGTCTACTTCATCTTTAACCGTTCATTTTAACAACCATCC